AGATGAATATTAATAAGAGGGTGGGGAGGAGGTTGTCTAGACAGGATCGAATTTTTCGCCTCCCCTCCCTCCCTGCATCGATTTTTCCACGGATGTAGAAAAAAAAATCTGCATACACTGCTGCGCTGTATGAATGGAATTCAAGCGTTCGTCAGATTTATTTTTAGCCGTGATTTATTTTGAACGAAAGAGGGGGGGGGGGAGAGGGAAAGTTATGCAATGAAAAATACAGGAAGAGGGGGAGGGGATTGAGATTCTCGGATATATCTGTGAGTCATGCTCGTAAATCGACTTATCGTCTCGCTTCGATTTCTCTTTAATGAAAAGGGAGGGGAGGGGGAGGGGGGAAATATCTCGAAATACGAGATATGCTCATCGATTTTCGCGAGCTTCGAATTTTTGTTGTCGATCGATCAATGTTTTATAATTTATTTGAGAGAAAGAGAAAGAAGAAAGATATTCTTGAAAATTTTTAGAAATTTTTCAATACACACGCGAGTGCGTCGTAATAAATTATACTTGCAAGTATCTCTCTGCGACGAGATTCAGTAAAACGGAAGAAAAGGGAGTTGGAGAGCCGCTCGACTCGTCCCGTCGCTTCCTTAATTCGATTTGATTTAATTAAACTAAATTCCATCCAATTCACTCTCTCCATTCCCCGCTACTAACAGGTAAACAGGCGAAGATTTCTCGCTTTGAACAAACGAGAGAGAAAGAGAGACTTCAGAACGAGATTCGAATATCAACAAATACCTAATTGCCTGTTTGAGTTTTTCCTCGTAAAAATGACGAGTTAATCGTTCGATCTTCCACGTTTAAATACTTCCAAGTAGTTTAACCTTCGTATGAATTTTTACGAGTTGAAAAAAAAAAAAATATACACGGCTCTGCTAATCTACTCAAAAATTTTTTAAAACATTGCATACGGGAACGCACTTTTGAAATTTAATTCCCCAATTGGGAATGCAATGGAGAATTAAATTCAACTTTTTTTTTTTTTAACAGACGATTTTAAAATCTTTTCGCTCTTGCACTCATCTCTTTTCTTTTTTTTTATCAATAACTCGACGACAAAGTAACACGAATAACAGTTGCCTTGATTATTCCAAAATCAGTAATTATCCTATTTATTACTCTCTCTCTTCTTCCCGAGATCGAAAACACGATCGAGGAGGGAAAAAAACTCGGTTAATAAGATCCTAGAAGGATAAAGAGACGTTACGTTCCCACAGAATTGGGCCCCTGTTCCATAAATAAATCGAACTCGAGCGAATCGGGATCCAGTATCCAGGTTGCACAGGTTGAAAAGTAGCCGGGTTACGTAGTAGCGCGGCGCGCAATAAATTCTTTGTTGGAGGAGGAAAGGGATCGGCGTGGTTCGGTGGCGGTTGCGCGCGCGCTTTCCAGACACGGCGAAGGAGCAGTGGTGGGGATTTTACGACTCGTTCGAGTCGAGCGCGCCGGTTTTCGAAGGCGAGGGGCGCGCGCGGGGGCACCGTGTTTACCATACACGGAGAGCCTCGTAATTTCTTCCGTCCATCCGTGTACTTTGCTTGTACACCGCGAGTCGACTTGGAATTAGAACCGATAGAACTGGGAACACGTGTAACGCGGATGTAAAGTAAAAGCGCGAGAAGGTTGAGCGCGAAGGCGTTCGTCGGTTTTTTACGCGAATTTACGCGCTTACGTGAAGGGTAAAATTTAATATTTGTTTTGAGGATAAAGGATTGATTATATCGAGGATTATGATCTCTCGTTGAGAACATGGTAATAATTGTTAAAAGGGTGGAGGAAAGCGGGGGATTAATTGCAACAGTTGAAAAGGATAATCGAATAAGTAAATGTTTTAACTGGTTAGGTTTTCGTTTGCGCGGTCAATGGCCAGAGATGGCAGAAGAGTAATGAAGAAAATTCTGATTTTAATCTTCGAACAGGTATAAAACGTGGAAAGTACCGTTACAATATGTTATAAGATCGTCAAGTGAAATAAATTGCTTCGAGATTTTTTTTTTTTTTTGTCATTAAGAGGAGTATATACGATGTGTATATACGGTGAAATCAAAAAATTTTTTTTGCCAATTGTAATTTTCCCTGCCAATTTTATACACAATAATACGAAAGAGCGCTAAATTACTTGCAATTTAATCTCTCGATCGTGTTTCCTCGATTCCTTGTGCGGTTTCTCTCGTTTCTAAATACTTTCTAAGAAACCAGGCAATATGGGTATAATCTCCGTGAAATTTATATCGTTACGTTTTACATATAAAAACATAATTTTTACATTGAAATAAATTTTACTCTGTTGTTTACGATTGAACGATCGCGAAAGACAAAATAATTGTACATTCTTTCTTAGAGATAACGCGAATTAGAAGATTTTAATTTTTCACGAGGAATAAACAGTAAATATTTCAGAAGATTTTTTTCAATGTGAAGACGAGGTCACACAATATTTTTAAGTTTTGTTTAAAAGCATAGAGAAGCCATGGAAAATTTCGAGTAACTTTCAAACTCGAAATTATTTCCATATTTTTATACATCATTCAAAATATCATCGAATAACTTATACGAAGAATTCTTAAATTAAATTTTATTCTTATTAAATATTAATCTAATTTGCTCTTTGAATATTTCGATAAAAAACATTGAAAAAAGATCGATAGAGAGTTGCCGGAGGTGGGATGAAAGGTCGTCGATCGTTTCGGTTAAAACCTGGATTCTATCGAATTACGTTGGTGGGTACCCTTCGATTTCACGAGCGATCGGTCTCCTCGCCGGAAGGTGAGAGGGGCTCGGTTAACCGGAAGTCCTATCGAGGGAGATCCGGTTCGTCGCACGGTGGATACTCTTCTCCTCTCCCGCGTCGCTAGAAATTCGCCCCAATTCCGATTCGAATCTCGATATCATCGCCGCGATACACGCGATAATGATATTGATTTCGACGCGGTCGAAAGCCGGTGAGCATTTTACGCGCGAACGAGCTCCGCCCAAAACTTTGTTAACATTGCATCGATACATTGAAATTGACCCACTCGCGGTATTATTAATGTAACGGTGTTATTTATCCGATTAATTGTACGCTCTATTATGCACGCAGAAATCGAACGTTGAGGTTTGGGTTAATCGTCAATTAAATGGAAATAAACCGAGGAAGCTTTTGATAGGGAGAGCTGATTGGGTCTTGATATCCAATAGGAATGAAATTTTATTTAAAAACTCTTCGTACAAGTATCTGCGGTTATTCGATGCTTTTGAATGATGTATAAAAATATGGAAATAATTTCGAACTTGAAAGTTACTTAAAATTTTCTCTAAGCTTTTAAACAAAACTTAAAAATATTGTCTTCATAGGTATCACATCAACTGAGAAATCTTCTGATAGAAAGAGCAAATTGGATCTTATAATAAAGAAGAAAAAAGAATAAAGGAACTTTATAAAGTAAAATTTTCCATCTCTGCTCAAAGTTTTTAAATAAAATCTAAAAATAAAAACTTTCTAATATGAAGAGCAAATTAAATTTTACTATCTAAGAATAAAATTTATTTTAAGCGATAAAATAATATAAAGAAATATTATGAAAATTTTTGCAACCTCGTCCTCACACGTCAACTAGAAAAAACTGTCGTCACTGCTACACAAAAAGTTCGATTATGGCACGCTATCCCAATTAACTCCCGATCCCCTACCTACAAAAAACCACAAAAAAAGTCACGTCTCAGTTTCGCCTCTAAGCTATCTGTAACTCCCCTCCCTCGTTTCGAGTGGAAGAGTCAGAGGTGTAACTCCCCTCCCTCCTCCCCTCTCCTACTTCGATTCCCACGAGCACTTGGCCGCTTCAGGGAAAAAAGGAAAGTGAAGAAGAAGAAGAAAAAAAAAAAAAGAAAAGGAAGAGGGGAGAGTCACGGCAAGTGCAGGAACGAAACCCAGTAGCGCCAGCCCTCGTGCGTTGTTTACACACGATTATGCCGCTGCTTGAAAATCGGAGAAGGCAGCAACCTCTCTCTAGCTTTGAAATCGGAGATGTTCCGCGTTTAGAGGCGCATTAGCTCGATTTAAAACGACTCGATTTGAAGAAGAAGCAGCCCGTGGTGCTCCACTTACCCAGAATTTCTCGGAGGCAGAAATTTTCTGTGGAAGTGTAGCAAAGTGTCCCGTTTGTTTGTTTATTCTTTTTTTGGTAATAATAATAATTTTCGAGAGGGGAAGAATTGGATTGGAAAGAAAATTGTTGGGACGGTGGTTAGCCACTTGGCCTGTCGAGCCAAAAGAAGCGTGACGATCGCGTCGATACCGTGACACGACCGTTCCAACATAACCGTACACACACGCACGCACATATATATATATATATATATATACACAAGTGAGCGCGTGTTGCATCGAGTATTGATTTCGAGTGGTTACCATCGACTTTTTATTATCATCGGGAGCATCTTCTCTCCTTTCATCCGTTTTCTTTTTCTCCTGTTCCCTTCCCTCCTCCCCGCCGCTGCTGCAGCATTCCTCCTTGTAACGCGATACTCGGCCACGCTCGGTCAAGTATGCCGTCAGAATGCGACCCTTTTAACACCGCGAAAATGGTGTCTCTCTCTTTCTCTTTAACTCGGCCAAAACCAGCGACGTTTATTAAAATATCCCAAACAAGGGATATACGAAGAGATATCTCGTAACCTTCTTTTTTTTTCATCTTTTTTCAAATCCATCACTCTTCAAATCCACTTCACCGAACTGAAAACTAAAAAACACGTGTTCCTTGAATTAAAAACCTTCGTGCCATTGAACGTATATATAAAAATATCCGGAATTATTTACTTTAGTTAGTGGTTTCAAATACTGTTCCACATCACGTTCACCATATACGTATATATATATACATATATTTTTCTTTCTTCGTTCCACTCGCGAATCAAGAATGGAGCGACTACGAGAAGGCGTGGAAGGACGTGGTATGCACGGCAAATAAGAGAGTGGAGGTGCACGATTAGACGGGTCTACGAGTTGACCCGCGATTGATCACACGTTTCACTCCCGCAATTGCAAATTGCGATGTTATTGAAAGGGGTCGGGGCGCTGGTGATATTCGATAATGGTGTGTGATTTTCGCGGTGAAATGACGGCGTTCCACTCGCGGCGGGGGCCATTGTCGCGATACGTTACGGGCCTCGCCGACCGTCCCGTTCCCAAACCCATCCATTACGGGGCACGGCCGAAAGGATTCCCCATTTTAACGACTCGTGCGTTACAATGTTTATACGTCGGACGAGTGTTTGCCCCCTTTGAGGGAGGCGATTCGATTGATGGTATTGTTAAAGATTTCTCTCTCTCTCTCTCTCTCTCTC